GGGGCGAACCCCGCCGTTCACCCCCCCCTGCCATTTCCACCATTTCCCACCCGAGCAGCCCCTGCTCAGCCTCACCTGGTCCTTCTGCTTCAGGAGCATCTTCAGGACCTTCTCTGTGAAGAAGAAGAGGTAGAAGCCCCCGAACACCACGGCGGATTTGGAAATGCAATAATCTTCTTGAGGGTTGAACCCAAACGCCTGCAAGCAAAAGGGGACAAGTGACAGGACTGAGGAACAGTCTCTAGCAGCGTCCTTCATCTGCATTTGCCCCGGCATCTCTGGGGCAGCACTGCCGCCTTTCTGACCTCTCTCTAAGCAGCAGCTGCTTTGGGGGCAAGCTCAGAAAATGCCTTTGTGCACCTTTAATCTCCCTCACTCCCCCAGCCAAGCCGGCTGTGCCCCAAGGCATTGGATCCACCACCCTGCACTGGGGCAGGGATGCTCAAAGCAGACTTAGAAAGCCTTCGCTGCCTCGGCACAAAGGTAACCTGCTCGCAGGGCTACAAAGGGCAATAAAATAGCATTTCTCTGCTTGAAGCAGACCGGAGGTCTCCCTGGAGCGATTCCCTTCCAAAGAGGGGTGAAACGCCAGCTCCGACGGTCCCGAGGGGCTTCCAGCCTCCGTACCTCACTCTCGGCTCCCCTCCGATGCCGCCTTCCCCTTCTCCAGCCAGCGAGCACCCAGAGAGAAAGAAACAGGCTACAAAGGGCAATAAAATAGCATTTCTCTGCTTGAAGCAGACCGGAGGTCTCCCTGGAGCGATTCCCTTCCAAAGAGGGGTGAAACGCCAGCTCCGACGGTCCCGAGGGGCTTCCAGCCTCCGTACCTCACTCTCGGCTCCCCTCCGATGCCGCCTTCCCCTTCTCCAGCCAGCGAGCACCCAGAGAGAAAGAAACAGCCCCCGAGAGAGAAAAGGACAGACCCAACGGTCCTCACCCTACCTCGGGAATGAGCTGGAAGAGGGCGTTGGAGTAGAGAGTTCCAATCGCCAGAGCTATGAAGTAGAGGAGCAGCCGCTTGTAAAAGGTCTTCTTCATGAAGGGTACCACGCTGGCTCCCACCAGCGAGCAGAGGGAGATGACGGTCACGCAGAGGAAACCGTAACCCCAGACTGTGGCGTGCGTGCCAAACCCACCCCGGGGGGAATCGGACGAGGGGAGGTTGTCAGAAGGAAAGGAGATCAATGTGGGGAAGGGGAGAGAGGGGAAGGAATCCACGCCGAAAGGAAAAAGAGAGGAGGGAGGAAGAGGAGGGGGGGGAGAGAGAAGAGGACATTCATTAGTGATTGCTTGTTCATCTGGCATTGGTTCATGACAGGCAAACCCGGTGCTGAGTGGCTTTGGAAACAGCTCTTTGGGAAGGGCCGGAGGGACACCCCGCTGTGGAGCTCGCACCAAACCTCCCTTGGAGCAAGCAGCTGTCTTTTAGCACTGCGTTGGAGCTGAGTTTTGGCAGCCAGGCCATTTCAGAGCCAGCACCCCAGCTCTGCTCCCCAAACCCCCGCGGGACATCGGGTGGCTGTTCCAGTGCCACAGAGCACCGAGGTCCCCCGAG